GTGGTGACAGGGGCTCTGCCGTGTTGATGCGTGACCTTGCCTGACTGAGAACCCACGGCTGTCCTCCCTCTGATGACCCGGTTACTTCGGGATTTCCCATCCAGTGGGACGGTTCCTGGAACAGCTGCGCAGCATTCGGCACTCACACCTACGGAGACGGCATCCAAGCCACTGGGCCACGGAATCCTACCGGGCGGGAAAATAACATCTCCGTGGCCCCTCGGGACTCTAGGCAGAGAAATTCAAATTCACCGACGGGGATTCAATCTCCAGTCACCGTAGATTCAAAGGAGAGGGTGCCTCTAGCTTCTACCTTCGAACCCGTTTGCGTACAATATATTCTTTTTCTTTTCTCATGGACAGTGTGGTTGACTGATGAGACATGCCCAGTTAATGAGTTAGATGTCATTTGAAATAGAACCAGACAGGTGCTCTCTCTTTGGGTAATTTCAGTTGAAAAGATCTGAGTCCCAGGCGGAGGGAATGAGAGTATGTGAAAGGTACAGAGCCAGGGGTCCCTGACAGGGTCCATTTGGCTGGTCCCTCGGAGGATGCGCGCCAGGGACCCACAGAAAGCGCCGGGCAGAGCGCCAGCGGCGGGCCGGGAACAGGGCCCGCCCGCGACGGGCCCTGTGCGTTGGTCACCTCAGGGAAAGGCAAGCCGGGCGCCCTCCTACTGCCTGGTCCTTCTGGGATAGAAGGGGAAGGACTGGAAAATCGTTAAGCTTCCCCTCGTTCTAAACTCTGAGTTTCGTTAGAACACCATTGACTCAAGGCCAAGAAGCAAACAGCCTGAGTGAAAAATAACTGAAAACTAAAAGCTTTAAAAATGTACGTGCTCTGATGGCCCCCCCCCAAAAAAAAATCATTTCAGGAGGATGACTGTCTAGCTAGTCCTGAGAAGTCACACGCTGCCACTTCCCCCACGTTTCTGCTGTGATGGGGGGGCAGGAAGGTGGGACACCCTCTCCCACACTCTCCCCACGAGCCCTACTGTCCCCCTTTTGGCAGCTGGTGGAGGGTCCAAGAACGCCAGGTTCCTCAGGGTCAAGAACGCAGAAGGTCAGCAAAAACCCCGCGGAGGGCAGATGTTGATGTTCAGAGGTTGAGTGAGAGGCACGCAGTGGTCGAAGCCGCGCCGGAGAACGAGCGGGTCCCGGGTCAAACGCTCGCTGCCACGCGCACGGCCCACGTCGAGCGTTAGAGGGGCCCGAGGGGCTCGAGGTCCACCCTGCCGTGGCCGTGGCTTCCCACGACCACAAGAGAAGAAAGAAATAGGGTTCTTCTGTCAAACCCACCTATTTCTAACACACTAGGGATAATGTCAAAGACGTGGCTACCCCACCAGCGGAAAGCTATTCAGGTCTGAATTTGGGTTAGGACGGTCTGCTGGGCGGGAGTAAAAATACAGTAACGCTGAAAGGACCACAGAGGGTCACTCACTCAAGGCCTTAGGAACACACTCAGCGTTTAGGAAAAGGAGGCAACCTTAAGAGGGGCTGTTTTATCTGAATCTTACAGAATTTGTGGCTGTACAACTGCATTTTCCAAGTTAGATGCTGTCACAGGACCTCTGTTCAGAGGGACTGCAGTGGACAACTTTGGATCTGAACGTGAAAACATCCGAGCAGCTTCCCTGCTCGCAGGCACGGAACACCTGAGAGAAGGTTTGGGTGTCCTGCGCTTTTATATATTTAGAGAAGCAGGAATTTAGAACAAAAGCTTTTCAGGGCTGATTTCCTCCCCCGCTGAGGTGTCCGTTGCTAACGTCTGACGCTGGCATTGGAATGCCAGTCCGTCCGGGACCGCCCCTGCTTTCTCTCCTGGCTCCAGGCCTGTAAGTTGAGGAGGGCTGAGGCTCTCGAAACTGCTGACCAGGGTCGTCAGCAGGAAAACATGCGGCCACCGCTTGGTTCTGTGAAATGAAAGGAAAACTCAACCTGCTTCATAGAAGGAAGAAGACTCAAATATCCTTTTTCCTGTTGTAGTAAAACTGACTTTTTGGCGTGTATGTAACCACAAATGGAGCCTGTTTCCACCTTTGCTTGAGCATCACGGTTGTGGAGGGGCCACAGGGGGAGGACCAGGGACTACAGCGGTGAAATCTGGGGGGAGGGCAGGCCGCCGCGGAAACGCCCCAGGTTCTCTTTCAGCCGCATCAGGGACAAGGCATCCATTAAACCAAAGCTGCTTAAACAAAGGAAAATGCACCAAAAAGCAAGCAGCACTGCTTGATGTAAAAATAATTAGTAAGCACTTAAGCAAAACACTGATGATTATGCATGTCATGAGAAAGGTTAAAGTGTTTTATAAAAAAACAACATAATATGAATTTGTTTGTTTCTTTAGTTGTGTTTGTTTTATCAGTGATTCTTTATGTGTCGTTCAAAAATAATATGATTCGCCTGCGACCTACACTGTTAGCACTCCCAGAATCCCTCGAGGCCAGAAGGGGAGTCAGAGGTCATCTGGCTCAAGCCGCATATTTTAGAGAAGGAAACTGGCCCTCCAGGACAGGGTGGGGCAGGATCAAGGTGACAGAGATGGTGGCTGGGAAAACAAAGAGTGAGGCAACCTTTACATACTTAACAAGTGTTCAAGATTTTAGGTCAAGTTTCATGCCACAGGAGATGCGCAAATCAAATTCCCAAGGGTCGCTTGTGATTGCCTTTATTTCTACAAATTCCATGATGCCTATATATGGTGCAGAGTCAAAGTTACAGCCTTCTTTGTTCATAAATTTCATAATTTTTAGTCATTTATGGGAACATGTATAAATAGTTAATTTGAAAGCACTAAGGTACAAGGGCAGTATTCACTCAAGAGATATTTGCAAGAACATCTTTGAGATAAAGGAGTGGAAAAAAACAGATGTTTCGGGAAGAAAATGCACTGCAACACGCTGCCTGCTCCTCGGCCCCGGCACCCAGCACAAGCCTGCATACCCTGCCAGCAGCAGCTCAAGGCCACGGCCCCCAGGGAGGGAGGGAGGAAGAGGCACTGGGAGCAGGAGGGGGCGGGAGGGGGTGAAGGAGCCCCCGACGTGTCTGTGCCCACTCTCAAGGGCCACAGGTGCAGCAAAGCGTTTAGTTGTTTTTAAGGCACTAATATTCTTCTTTCCCTCTGTTTAAAACATTGAACACGTGTGTGTCCTGAGGCAGAGTAACTGTCTAAATTATGTTGAAGCAGAAATGATTAAATGAGCTTTATTTTCCAATTTGATACTTTACAAGACACTAAAATTCAAGAGAAAATTTCTAAACTTGAATAGGAAGACTTGGCTTTCGTTTTGGACGTTATAATGAACACGTGAAATGGAAATGTTCCCGCTTCCTTTAGCTCATAATGGCATAGTTTTGGGGACATATGTTTTCCAAGAGATTTAGAAAATCCTAAGTTCAACTGCAGAATGTCGGCATTTGCCTCCTCATGCAGCCAAAGTCGCGCAGAGACCGACGCGGCTGACTGACCCCTAGAGAGGACATACCTGAGACACTCAGTAGCCGGCGCAGCTCAGATGCGGTCGCCAAGCATGCGCCCTCCCTGAAAAATCAAGTCAAGGCTGGGCAACATCTGCAGAGTAGCTGCCATTTTGGGGTCAAAGAATGCATAGTAAAATGACTTCTTTACAATAATTAGGCAATAGGATGAAATTTTCCATAGCTGTTTCTATCCATGTAACTGAAAATGAGTTTGGCGCTGAGTTTCAGACACTGAGAAAGCGGAGCAGGAGAGAACCCGGTTCTAGGTGTCTTGTCGGGGACCCCCCCCCCATTTTGTTTAAGTCGCTTGCCCTGACACACCGACTGTTACCACACAACCACGACTCAGAAAGCCAGGGTGTACCGGGGTGATGCCCCCGGTGCTGGGCAGCTCTGCGCTGGGTTCCGCTGCCGCGTTCCGGGGGACTCCACTTTTGAGCGGCTGTGCGTGGAACCAAGGAGAGGCCCCCCCCAACAACCCCGCTGCGCTGGGACGGCTTCTTCCTACGTCACAGGTCTGCGCTCAGCGTGAATTAAACATTTACAGGACACTTCCCGATCCTCCCTGAATGCCAGTAGGGAGACAACAACCTGTATTCATTGGAATAGGCAGGAGTTTTTGCCCTTCTCGATTAGGGCCTCTGGTCTCTGAGTTTAATTCAAATAATTTGATAACTTGAAAAAAATAAAAACAGAATTGAGCATCTACTCTGCACAAGGTGCTGCTATGTACAAGCACCTACTATGTGCAAGTGTGCCAGATATGGAGATAAAAGTAAACTTTCTAGGACTAGGGCATTTGTCATACATTAGAACATTGCATATTATATAATTCACACCATTTCCCACTGAGTATAAAAGCTAAATTAGATGCAAAATACTCACCTGTTTAGCATTAAGCTTTTACATGGCTCCCTACCATACAACACTGTCTCTAGTTACATAAAGACGCTGCATTTTCTACACATTAACATATATTTCCACATTTTATTCATTAGACTTTTGAAAGCATTTCAGCATGAAGATTCCATTTATTGTATCCAAAAATAAAAATAGCATCAAAGTCTTTTTGTGACTCCCCACACGCAGCGAGGAAAAAATGATCAGATGCTCAAAAATGTAAAACTCAATTTGTGCTGTGCCCCATTTACTGCACAATCGTGGCGCACCGCGCGTTCTCGCCTGCGCGCGGCCGGGGGCGCCGGCAAAGCTGGGTCTCTGCTTCGGGAGCGAATGAAGGACCGTGCATCTGAGATCAGCTCACCCTGCTTCGGCGCCCTGAAAAACTGTGTGTTATGATATTGCTTCCTGTCAAGCACGTAATGTGATGTTCTCCTCCATAAAACCAACCACTGCTGTAATTCCGGCTCCCTTCATTTTCCACCTTTTAAGCACTAACCGTTCAAACAGTGGAGACCGGGAAGTCCCCCGTCGGCCCTAAGCGCCCGCGGCGCAGCCAGTACCTGCGCAGGGGCCCCACAGACAGACAGGTGACCAGGTGACAGGGGAGCTCCTTACCTGCCCGCAGGCCAGGCCCATCCCCCGTTCGCCCATGCCATGTGGACAGGACAGGTTCAACTCCAGCGCATCTGCTCCGGAAGCCTGGACAACGTTGGGGGAAAGGGAAGGAAAAGGAAAAGGCAACGCTTTATTTGTGAGCCAGTCCGCTGTGATCAGAGTTAACGCGACACAGGGCACGCAGGCCAAATGTGAACACTCTGCTTCCTCTGTGACGGCCACCTCGCGGGTGTGTCCTGGCTCTCAAATAGGGGCGATGCAGCAGCCATCACAGCTGCCCCTCGAGCGCTTCCACAGGGACACGCCTTGCTCTGTGTGCCCCGGCCCTGGGCCTCCAGTTCTGACCATCCTTGGAATCTTGGGGTCCCCATTTTACACACAAGAAAACCGGAGCCCGGGGGCGAAAGGACAAGGCTGGCTGTGCAGAGACGCTGCAGAGGCAGGCGCTGTGGGCTGTCTGACCCAACCTCCACCGTGCCCTGCGCAGCCTGTTTGCACAGGAGCAAATTCTCCTGGTGCTGGGCGATCGGCACTGCGAGCAGCCGCGCAGAGAAAATGCGAGAGCCTAGTGGGAACGAGTACAGGTCACATCTTTACTGTTTTTAACTGAAAATCAATTTTATTGTATTTTTAAAAGTTCCATGCTCAGGAATATGAAGTGCAGGTATTTTGCCTTCGTTTAATAATTAAATAGGGACCTTTCTCATTTAGTTAATTCGTTCATTAGTATACAAAGGGGTCCTGCAAAATGAACAAATGAGTTCACTCTAAGAATACTTTGGGAATCATGAAATTCTTGAGAAGTCTTCTGTGAAAAACTCTAAGAATAAGCAAGACACTTTTTTATAGTTTAATATAGTAATTTGAGGAATGAGGGATAAACTAAATGATTCAAGTTTTGCATTCTTTCACTTAACTTCTAGAATCTCTCTGATGCTACGATTTCTTTTTAAGTAAGATCAACCAGAAACTGGAATCCTTTTGCATAATATTATAACATGTTTATCAAACCATGCAAAGGCTTAAAAAAGATCCCTGTTTTCTAAGCGTATGGCCAACAGCCGTTTCTTCAGGGCCTCTCTTTTCTTCCTAATTGTTCAAGATTTTAGCCTATTTTTCTGCATTATGCATTTTAAATAGGACCTCAACAGACTTCAGAATTCTAATTAGCTATTTTCTTACCCATCTTTATTCATCGGTGAGTATGCTTTTCCGTCCGCACGCCTGTGGAAGTTCATTTGCTCATTCCGCCTGCCTTCTAACATGGTTTCATTATGGTTTTTGCTTCCCTAATTCGGTTTTAAAATGCTTCCTGTTATTTGAAAATTACTTTAAATCATGCCATTTTCTTCCCTGCTGGTTTGCTGGTGATCTTAGACAACACACACTGGCTACATGGGTTCAGCCGCAGGCCAGCTGAGGAGCTGGGGGCGCTCGGCGCACGTCCATGGCCACGGGCTCTGCTCGCGTGTCAGTTGGAGAGAACACGGCCTACCCCGAAATCATGTCGTGCGGGAGTTACCAGCTTATTTAAAAGAGTGTACATTGCAATGATATATGCTGCTGCACTTTTCTTATTAGTTCTGAGCTATTTCAAGTATTTCCTTTAGACTTCTTTATTTAGCTGAAAAGCAGCAATAGCAAATCAACAACATTTGGGAATACCTAAGCTTCTGGTGGCATTTGTGTACATATTTCCCAAAATACAAGTGTGAGCTTGCACTTGGCTACGAGAACATGCACTGGGCCCTTACAGTGGGCCTGGCCCTTTGCGAGGCTCTTTGCAGTAAGGTTCTCGCAGCTCCCATTTCGCAAATGACAAAGCCAAGGCACCAGGAGTCTGAGCGACTCAGTGTCTCGTACGCAAGCGCTCGAACAGCACCTCGTGCCCACAGCCTGCGCCTAACCCTGGCCGCGGCTCATTAGAAATCCCATGTTCCGTGGCTGGTGCTGTGGCAATCCGTTAAGAAAACTCGACACTCTCAAAACTTCTGACCTTTAAGTAAAAATTAAAATCCTGTAAAATCACCTACCCACCATAAAGATTTTGCAGTGACCAGTTATTAAAAATGACTCTGGTTCTACACAAATAGACAAACGCTGACCCACCAGACATACCTGGAAAGGCCTGGGGAATGACACAGACCCCCCGCTCAAGGGGACCCCCGGACGGTACGTCCGCCCCTTTCGCCTCTGCGCCGGGCCGCCCTCGCAGGCCGCCCACCGCCCTGAAAGGCAGCTGGTGCCACTTCCCAGCGTGTCCACAACCCGAGAGCCTTGGGCGCCCAATGAGCAGGAACACTGAGCTACACTGGCATGCATCCTGACACCTGCCAGTCTCGCGCCCTTGGGCTCAGCCGCCCACCTGAGTTTGTTCTACCTCGCCTACGTTGACTCCGCACAGGAGGAACCCAGCGAAGGCGGAGACAGAAGACGCGCTCTGAGTGCGCACGTCGCCCCCTCTCAACCAGTGGTCCACGTGGAGTGGAGTGCGGACGGTCACATGTGGACTCTGCAGCCGGTCTCATGGGTTTGAATCCTGCTTTGACCACCTACAAGCTGTGTGAACCTGGGCATGTCATTGAGCTACCTTTTGCGTCAGTTTCCTCATCTCTAAAATGTGAGAAACACCGTGAGTAACTCACAGGGCTGTGTCTGTAAGGCATAAACAAACTCACAGGGTTGCATTTGTAAGGTATGAAATAAAAGCGAAGGACCTAGAACAGTGCCTGGACTATAGTAAGTGTGAGCAATTGCCACCCATCTACCTGTCTGTCTGTCCGTCTGCACCTCCATCCATTGTCCATCCAGTCACCCGGCTCAATTCCCTGAACTGCCCCTCCCCAGGCTGCAAAACGGTGTAAAGTAACTACCTATACATCACGGGGACAAGAGGGAAACACTCGTCTGGGGGACTCTGAGGAGACAGGAGCTGTGGTTCCCGGTCTCCAACTCACGCCATCAGACCCGAGAGAGGCGAGGGTGGCAGAGCCACAGCCCATGTCGCCCGTGCGCCCCGGCCCCGGGCGGGACGCTCTTCCTCCTCCCTTCCTCGCCCTCCCTGGCTCCCTGATGTGGGTGGTGCCAGGGGCCTGGGCGTGCGGGAAAGTCTAAGGAGGAGCCGCGAGGGCCTGGGGTGGGTGTCGGAGCCTGGGCGCCATGAGCAGGTGCCCGGGACAGGGTGGCCCGAACACCGTGCCGGAGCCCACGGGGGAGGGCGGCTCCCGGGCAGCGGGGCCGGCAAAGGGCTGCAGAGCCCCCGCAGGGCGAGAGGGGCGCTCCCGTGGCGGGGCACGCATGGCCCGCCTCTTGGATTCTCTCTTACTGGCTTCTTCTGAGAGAACACACAAGGTCCGGCGCTGACCTCCTCAGCGGCCATCTGCCTCTTCTCTTGAGTGTCCACGACCCCGGCCCAGCTCTCAGGACGCTGAGCCACGTGCGGGGTCTGAGCCAGGTCAACACTGCCCTGGCCCGGGCCCCACTGGACGTGGAGTCAGCAACTCTCTCGTCTCCGCCTGGGCGTCCATCTGTCCTGCTTCATGCATCCCTGTCGCAGACGCCTGACAGATCCTATACATCCCTATGATGAGCCCGTGCTGGATTTTTCCTTGGATATGTTCCCAAACTCTGGTATCTGTTTCACTCATCACCGGCGGCCAGCCCGGACTCGGAATGAGAGCCTGGCTTCGATGCGGTCCACGGACTGTCTGCTCGGACAAGGGCGGCCACCTGGCGTGGACAGCGGTGCCTCTCCCTGGACCTTCCCTGCCTCATCCTCCACGTGCGGTCACACTGTTGCCGGTCCCTCATCAGGTCCCTGGCTTGACCTTCATCGCCCTTCAAGGAATCCCCATGGGCGGGCAGTCTCCTACGTGCTCGGAACGAGGCATTGGGCCGCCGTGAACCGGACAGGGGTCTGCGCCCGCTGGGGCACGCCGGGCAGAGCTTACAGGGCTCGGCCACCATCGCTGGCCACCACGTCTTAGATGCTCAAGAGGAAAAGCACAGGCGGAGGCAGATGCAGATCCAGGGGAGCTGGGAGCTTAAACTTCTTTAAGGAAAAAAGCAACTAAAAAGTGCCAGTGCTAAAGGGGACGGGGGCGTGGCAGTGGCTTGAGAAGCGAGGGCTGTGAGGCTTGAGCGTTGCCAGGAGGGCAGGCAGGGCCAGGCCGTGCGGGACTGAGGGCGGCCCAGCCCAGGGTTCTGCGTTTCAGACGGACGGCAAAGGCTTTGGAGGCACTGAGGCCAGACGGCGGTGGAGCCGCCGAGGCGGCTCGGATCGGTGGGGGGAGGGACGCAGACAGAGCCAGGCCCGGTGTCCGTGCGTCCTCCGATTCCATGTCCTCGCGTGCCACCCTCGCTTTTGCCACTAGCTTAGAAAGAAACATGGCCCCTGTTGCTGTCCTCTCATCTCCTGCCATTGCCACTCGGAGCTCCCTCGGGGTGGCAGCTGGGCTCCATCAAGCCTCCAGCGCACCCGCCAAAGGGGGCCCTGGGTCCGGGCCCCGTGCGCGGGCCCCTCCCTGCGAGTTTGGGCTTAGAAGCAGCGTCTGACAGCCCGAAGCGGGCAGGACACAGCCCGGCAGTGCAGAGGGAGGCTGCCCCGGGACACGGGCCGGGCCAGGGCGGGCCGGAGACAGGCAGGGGACGGCGGACACCCCAGGCCCGCACTGAGCTGCTGTGAGCCACGATGACGAGGCCCCGACCCCGCATGGTGCACCCGTCCCCCGGGCTGCCCAGGGGCTCCACCCCCGCGAGGCCCGGCTGCCCGGGAGGCACCTTCACGTCAGCTCCGCCTCTGCCTTCCCAGCAAATGCACGTGAGGCGAGGAGTGGGTTCCACAACTGTTAAAATGAGCCCGACCCCGAGGGAGACCTACTACGACCGCGGCCTCCGGTGCGGTGCGTGATTGCACGTTTGAGCTGTGACGCACCCACAGAGCCAAGGCCGAATCTTGCTCCCTTTGTGCTGGCTGGTCAGGGACTATGCACACAGTAGGTGCTTCAAATGACTCCCTTTGCCTGGAAGTGAAACGGGCTCTGTCGCAGGAATGCGGGAGAGACTGAGGTCACCTGCGGGCAGGGCGAGCTGAGCGGGGCACAGGGATGCTGCTGAGCGGACACGGGGCTGTGGGACCGCGTCCAGCGGTGGCTCCTTCCTGCGGGGCTCCCAAGGCAGGGCGGCCTCCGGCCAGGCCGAGAGGCGCACAGGGCACCTGAGAGGGCGGGCATTCGGGGCTGGGGTAGCGGGAGGTTCGGTTCGCTTTCCAGGAGAAACCAAAGCCTTCTCAAGTACGGGCTACGCGGGACAGGCGCCAACTTGTAAAAACAGCATTTAGCAGAATTCTCTGTGTTCTGAGGCTGTACTTGGGTTCTTTTTTGTTTCCCAGCACCCACCTGGCCTCAAATGTTTATTCAAAAGAGCAGAACCAGATGGTGGCTGCTGGTGAAACCAGTGAACCGCCCGGCGCCTCCGCGCCCGGCCTCTCCTCCTGATGCAGGGCTCTCGGTCTCTGGTGTCGCCTGTCCCGCACACCTGCCTCTCCTCTGCTGTGTCTTTCTGCTTTCCGACAGAACGGCACAGAGCGGGCAGACTTCCCCAGCTCCCAGAGGCGCGATTCCAGCGCCCCGCCTCGCTCAGCGGGGGCCTGGGTGAATTCAGCGTGCACCTGCCATCCGGGCGGGCGGGCCATTTGCTGAACCGAATATGGGTGGCAGGGGAGACCAGCAGGTGTGAAATCTCAGACTATGCTCCCCCCGCCCAACGAAGGGCCTCCGGCGGTTGGTGTGGTGGCTTCCGCTCGACCTCTTTTCTGTTGGTCGGTTTGTTTTAAGGTGGGCTCGTCCGTGGTGAGCGAACCTGCTTGGAAGCATGTGTTCACAGAAACAAAACCAAGCACCGGCTCATCAAAGCTTCACTGAGCGCTGACTGGTGCTTCCCACCTCCTCGACCTGGTCCCCACCCCCAGGGGACATGGAGGCCTGGGGACAGCTGGGGCCAGTTCCTCACCGACAGGCCCTGGGCTGGTCCATATTTTAAAGCTCCAGGGATGATTTTTTTTTCTAGGTAACACCTTCTATAGATTAACCTTGATAACCAGATTGCTTTCCTGTGGAGAGATTCTGCGGGCTTTTGACTGAATGAAAGACACACCTTTTTCTTTTTAAAAAGGCTTTCCTTCCTTCATTCTTTCCTCCCTCCCTCCTTCCTTCCCTCCCCCTTTCCTTCCTTCCCTCCTCTCTCCTTCCTCCCTTCCTCCCAGCCTCCCTTCCTTTCTTCCCTTTCTTTCCTCCCTTTTATTTTTCACTACGAGAACTTAGAAAATGTTATTAAACTGAAGCTAAATAGATATGTGATATGTGAAATGTGAAGAACATCTTTAAGTTGGTGAGTATGTTACCAACACAAAGGCTTTTTGACTTTTCAAAGTGAGATTTGCTATTTTAAATACTTATCACTGAGGAAAATATTTTCTGAAGTATTTGACTCTACAGAAGGGCAGAGAAGCAAGCAGCGTGAAAAAGCCATTCATCACAGTCAGCTGAAAACTGGCAAAGCTCACGCCAGGCACGGGCTCCGTGGAGGGGTTCACGGTCAATTAGGTAAATACACGTAGAAAACGGACCCAACCCCGAAGATCACAAAGCCAATTACAGACCATGTTTAATTTCACCCCCAAGTCCCAGAAGTAATTTTCCCCCTCGCAGTTTTAAGATATCTAAATAAATTGTAAAACCAACATTTCTGAACACTCTTGAAAGCCGTACAGCAGCTTATAATGCACAGTCGTTAGTTCGTAAGTACTGTTAGATTTAGTCTTCTATATACCTGAGAGGTTTTCGAGAGATCCCAGCTAACTCTGTCTAGAGCATTTTTCAAGACTGCGTGGACACTAGCCAATAATGTTAAGTGTACGTTTTTCCATTGGAAACACACACGTGAGGTCCCTGGTTAGTCTGGGTCCGTGTAGGACTCAGCTGACACCACAGAAAACCTGCTGCCTGGCGGGCTACTCGGGAGCACCCTGTCCCGCCATCCCACGCATGTCTGTGTTCCACCGGGACAGTGCTCCGTGAATCTCTCACAGCTTAACTGTTCAGGAGTTTTATATTCAAAATTTCTCCTCTCGCTGCCACACGAGCTTGCCTAAAGGCAAGGCAAGATCAAGTTAGACTCTCAAAGGCAGGATTAAATTTTATCATGACGTCCATCATAATATATAGTTTGCTTAATATGCAAATAAAGAGTAAATGGATGCAAAGAATAAAGGATTTTTAGGTAGTGTGTGAAATCCAAGGGACCATTTTGTGGCATAGATTCTTTTTAAATTTACATTTCCATCATTTTAATGAAAACACTGGGTAAACAATGATAATAGAGATGTTTTAAGTTACCATTTTCCATTCAATTTTACTGCCACAGGGTTATTTCTCACGGCAGCTCTTTATTTAGAACTAATGAGAACAGACAGGCAGCAGCAGAGCCGCGGTGCACGGAAGGGACCCACCTCGGCCATTTTCGAGAGCGTCATCCAGTCGTTCTTGTTGTAGCTGCACATGATGCTGGCGATCAGGACCTTCCAGGAAGAAAAAAGAAGGTCAGTCGGTGATGACTTGGCACAGAAGGGCACGTGGGTGTTCACACATGTATATTTATGATGGTAAACTACGTTGGAAAAGTTAGTTGTGCATCTACTGAAAGACAAGCCCTTATAAAACAGCAGGGGATTATAGCGAAGCCCAGGGTGGGACGTGGGGCGTCCGACTTATCCCAGAGACTTCCTCATTTATCTCTGAGAACGTGAGCCCGTTGCTTGACCTTTCTGACCCTCGGCGTTCTCGTTTCTAAAACGACGGGGATACTGACTTGCCAGCCGCAGAAGGCGGGGGCGGGGATCACACGAACGAGGGTGTGCAGGGAAGGGCCGTCTAAGTCACGCGTTCCAAGGGATTCCACGTGACGGCACGGAAGTGTTTATTAATATAATTGCTGATATAGTGGAGAGGTTTCAGGCTATGGGGAAGAAAGAAGCCAGCATTTTCTTCCATCGTATCTTAGCGCATGGACAGTGATACGATGCATAGTCACAGGACATTTCGGTGTTAAATTTTGTTAAATGTTGGTGACTTAACCAACATTTTAAGTTGGTGATTTAACAAAAGTCTCACAGGACCCCGGGAATGGAGGCTTTGTAGAGGAGTGGTTCCCCCTGCCACCCCACCGCCCCGAAGGCGGATGTCCGGCTGAGCCCGCTGACTCTACCGCGCATGGCCTGCCCTGGGGAAGACACTGAACTTCCTCTCCGGGTAAGTGGGCATCATGAACCCCCACCCCGGAGAGTGACCGGGGAACCACCGGAAGTCATAGAGCTCTGAAGATGCGCCAGGCACTGTTTGGTGGCTTTTACCTCACCGACCGACTGAGCTGTTCTCAGTGCTTTCCTCCCCATTTTACAGTTGGAGACACTGAGGCACGGCGACATCAGGGTCACCAAGCTGAGGGGCGGAGCCAGGTCTCAGGCCCAGGCTGTCGGCATGCTTGTCCCCTCGGTTTTCCGGCCCAAAGCCGGCAATCCACACACGTCAGTCGCTACTTTGCTGTGATCACCACGGAAAGACTGAGACCGAGTCACGGACACTGTGCCAAGCCTGATGCCGCCGCACCAGGGGCGGGGCCGCTCGGGGCCACTGCGTGCAACCCCACACAGCAGTTCTGCGTGCTGTCTCAGCGCCCTGGGGTCACGTGAAGAAGCAGAAGAAATGCACATGGTTTCCGTGGCTGCTCTAAGGACGCAGGGACCAGGCTGAGACCCCAGGCTTGCGGCCCCAACTCCGAGGGCGTGGTTCAGCCCCGGCATGAGCCCTCTCCTTTCCCCTGCTATCCTACTCCCTCTCTGGCTCGCCCGCCCGTGGGTGTCCTCGGGGTCTGCTCATGGGTGGGCGTCAGCCAGTGGTGCTTCACACGCGTCCTTTAGGTGCCACGTTCCCAAGGATTTCAGGGAACTCCTGCGTGAAGAAAACGCCTCCCGCCTGCTTTCCCCTAAGTGCAAGAGCAGCGATCCCAACTACCTTCTAACCCCGAAATCCAATTTGCTCAAAACCAGACTTAAGTTTCTCCACTCAGATGTTGCTATTTCTCCCTGTTAAATACATGCTCACACGCTGCCCTCTTGTCCCAAGTTAGAAAACAAGATACCCTTCGATTCTCATTGCCTATATCCACTTATTCACCATGTCTCCTGCGCTCACTGGCTCTCACACTTGGCTGAGTGTCAAAATCATGTAGAGAATAAAAATAATAGCAATAATGATAATAATACCCCGAAGTATCCCGAGTTCATCTGCACACAGCTCGGCCCGGACAGGAGTTTGTCGAGCACCTCCGGGCAGCCCTGAAGTGCAAGCAGCCTGGGCACACCCCCTCGCTGCTCCCTCGCTGCCCCTGAGACCACTTCTCAGGGACCCCGCTGCCACGGGGTCCCTTGGTGGAGACCTCGCCACGCTCTGTTCCCGTTTCAGTCTACGCCGTCTGCCGGACCCTTCCAAGGAGGCAGGCCTGCTTCAGGTTCAAGTTCCGGATAAAAGCCAGCCCTCCTATCAGCGAAACCCAGCCGGCGTGAAGCTCCAGCTTGCACCACGCCGAGGCACTTGTGTCCGGAAGGGAACGCGAGTCCTGCACTCTCCTGGCCCCACGTCTACTCCTCTGTCTGGATGAATAAGGAATGACTCCTGGGCTCCCGGAGCATATGGTCTAATAAAGGAGACACGTGTAAACCGGCACGAAATCATTAGAGGGCATGAACCGGGACCAAGCACGAGCAGAAGGGAAGGGGCTCTGTGCGCACCTGCGTGGCTCAGGGAAGGCCTGGCCGGAAAGTGGCTCTCACTCGATTCTGCAGTCGGCGTGGGCACTGGCTGGGGACTGACGAGACAAATGGGGCACGTGTGCTCCGGGGGCAGGGACGGCCAGGCAAAGGCAAGGGCCTGTGCTCCAGGAACCCCAAGCGGTTCAGTTTCGCATGGGGGAAAATGCGTGGCTACACCCTGTGGGCCACAGAGCCCGAGGCACGGGTGGGAACCAGGGTTATGCGGGCGAGGGGCTAGCACAGAGGCTCCTCATCAGCCGGGCGCTGGGCTTGGGTTCCAGACCATTCTGCTGTGAATCCCTGCTCCGTGTTGGGACATCACCTTCCCTGGGAAGCCCCCCTGTTCCCTGTCCTCCCGGACGGTCAGCACCCTCCTCTGAGGCCTCACAGTGTTACATTGTGTTACATTGTTGTTTGCTATGTTTTTCAACAGAGGACCAAGGTTTTGGGGGGCAAGGCCCATTTTTCACTTTTATATGCATAGCGCCTAGTATTGTACCTTATACATAGTTGGAATTCAATAAATATTTGCCTCAAAGGAATATTAAAATCGGTATCTGAGACCCGGAATTCCAAGTGACGCGTATTTTTTTTATCATCAGTCCCGAAATCTAAATGTAAGTAAATGCCTACCTTCCAGAGAGAGAGGGGCAGGGCGGACAGGTGTGCAAGGGGAGGGGCCCGCGGGGCCTTGTGATTTATGAACTGCAACTACCATCAAGGAATAGTAACCCACTATATTTGTTTATATACTTAACACACATTTTCATATACACTATCTCATTTATTCCACACAGTAACTTTGCATTTAGAAAACCTTATACTGAGAATAATGAGCACAGATGATTTAAATTATTTTACAAGGGGTCACATTAATCAATAGCAGAGGCAAAGATTACGAGCTGGTCTTTTGACTCCAAGTCTCTCTCTACTACATCAAGACTATCCCATATTGATTTGCTATCCTTTCAATTTACCTTCGAGAGCCCAGCTGATTTTGTGTCCCCAACCCTCTTGTGGTCGATTGTTCAGAAAAAAGTGACCCCTCTCCGTTCCAGGCCCGTCCACGATGTGACGGGCAGTGGGGGATGCATCCGCCCACCCCTCGGGTCCGGGCTGGCTTTGGGACTTTCTCGGTCAATAGCACATGGGAGAACAGATGTGCCTGTGCCCCAGTGAGGCTTGGAGGGGCCTCGTCCTGTTTTGAAATTCTGCCCAGGCTGCGATTATGCTGGCACAGGCCACTGAAGGGCCCAGGACCACCTGAGACCGGGCTAAGCCTCCCCGCTGGGGCCACCAGAGACCAGCCCGCCCCTCACCCACCCAGAGGTTGGCTACAGATGGAGTGGGGCCGGCTGAGACCAGAAGAACCATGCCGCTTAGCTCAGCCCTCATTGCTCACAGACAGAACTGCAGACTAAACTGACAGCTGCTTCAAGGCACTAGGTTTGGGGTGTTTTGTTACGTAGCCAAAGATGACTGATACCACTAGAGTAAGTGCACCAATGACGAGTAAGGACGTGTACGTGCCCAGCACTGGGTGAAGTGTGTCACATGGCTATCTGAAGTCCTTAGAACAACACGACAACTAGAAATTGTCAGCCCCATTTTACAGGTAGGGGAAAAAAAACACCCTTATTTCAAAACAACTACTCATGGTTGTTCAGCTCATAAGAGTAAGTACAAATGTTGAACTGTCTGGTTATACATGTTTTTTTACAAATCACTTTTCATGTGTCTTAATTACATACTTATAGACACTTGTGGGCTTATTTTTATATATGGTGGGTGGAATTCAGCGGGGGCTCATTTGCATTACTTTCGTTCTCAGAGGCCTACCGCACTTCTGTTCCTGGCCAAGGCGCTAACCCGCCCGAGCGCCACCCACGCCACCGAGCGAGGCAGGCCCACAGGACCGCCCCGGGGAACCATGCAGGCGGACGGGAGGTCAGGGCAGCAGGGCCCCATGGGATGGTCCGCGGTCCCCTAGTGACATAAGCCCGCTCAGAAAGGGACACGGGGCGGAGGGGACCGTGTGCGATCAGCCCTTTCGCTTGGCTCGCCACACCGCGCCCTGCAGATGCTGCCACCCGGTGGCCCTTCTGCCCGTGCGGGGTGGGCTCCCGACAGCACGTGCCCTGTTCACCTTTCCGGCGCCAAGGCAGAGCTCGCTTCCGTCCTGATGCCCTCAGTGACGTCGGACACAGAATCGCTGCTGTCACTGGGCGCTCAAGGATGAGGCGCCGCCTGTGCCTGCGAAGTCTGTTTATTGATATCGCTGTCTTCTCTTTCTCCACTTGGGCAGGGGGGGAGCGTGCTCAATTCCATTCACCTTTATTCTCTTATCACTGGGTTCAGCATAGCACAGCACCTAACGCGCACTTACTAAATGTCTGTGGAAGGGAGGAACCCACAGCCTCTTGTTTCTTAAAATTGTTCTGGTCATCTCTATACAGACTGTACTTCCCACTGTAGGCGTGGAGAAGCAGCACACGCGTGACGTGCCGCGAGCACGGCGTGTCAGCACAGCCAGAAGCCGTTTCCCGTCTTCCTTGCATGGCTCTAACGGACAATGTCTAACTGGATCCGGGCCGTCCTACAACTGTTGACCCCTCACTGAGGCTGTGGTAAGCCAACGGATGTCCTAAGATCGGAATTTACTGCACACACACACGCACAAATGTGTTCCCTGCAGGGAGCCTGTGTGCGAG